CCCCTATTCAAGGAAAGTGATTCTGCACGTTAATAGTATGACTCTTTTTATTTTAAAATTCGAGGAATTCGAAATTTCGATCAATCCTGTTGCATCCCGTTCAGTCTTGAGACCATTGACTGTTTTGTCATCGGATGTATAGAGAATCAGCATGCACAAGGTGCACAGTTTGTGGAGAACATGTGTGCTTCACGCATTTTTTAAAGTTTTTCCATCAGTGTTGAAATCCTTGCAGGCATCTTATACATATCTGGTAACTTTCTGTTGAATTTTCCCTGAATTTCAAAATAAAAAGAGTCATACTATTAACGTGCAGAACCACTTTCCTTGAATAGGGGCGACAACATAAAAGCAGAAATGAGGTGTTCACTGAAAAAATGTCAGAAAACGTTTGGGGAACCCGTGATGAAATGAAAAAGCACTTTGCAAAAATGCAGACAATGTCGGGTAGCAAAACCTCATCTTACGCCCACGAAGCGAGACCACTACCACAAAGCCAAGTGGACACGATAGCGAAGCGACGAGTTCGCATATCCAATTGATACAACTGTCGAGCAAAATTCNGGCTCTCATAACTTTTTAAGGAGAACCATTTTGCAGTTTTAACTTCCATTTTCGTGAACAGCATTCAAAACTCTATCAATTCATCTGGGTCTCCATTCAAAGCTCCAAGATAAGTAGACTACCCCTCCTTGGTTAGCAGCTGTCTTTCGCTGAAGTCCGCAGGGTAAATCTTGACACACAGGCAAAAGTTTAGTCTGGGATGTGACTCAATTTCGCCCCTACCTTCCAGCCACCACACACGGAGTTAGGCACGATGCATGCATCTCTAATAAATCGAACACTTCTAGGTTTAAACCCTATGCATTGCTCAGTAGCAACGATCCCAAGAGGATGAACTCGGGCATGTACTACTATCCCAAATAAAAGGTGATTTCTGCAAGTCATGCGAATTTGTCACGATTGTTATAACTAGGTTTCTGAGTAGACCCCTCTCTATTTCAAGCAGGCTCCAGACATGTATGTCGTATGTATGTATGTGATGTACATGTCGGTGTTTTTATCTTTTCCGAATTTGTTACCAAATAACCGACCCCGAAAGGATGGAAGGTTGGTTGCCTAAGCGGGTATCGATCCGGGATTCGAGCCCGCTACCATGCGTATGTGATAGTGCGCCACTTACCATTACACCATGTCCCTAATGCAACAAAGATTCTTCGAACTAGGCTGTCTCGTGTGAGGAACGGATAGATATTGCTGATACTTGGTCTATAAATAGAAAAATGGAAAAAAAATAAATCGATGATCAATAGGCATAGGTATCGGAGATAGTCCCAAACTATAAGAATTAAAACGTTTATTGAATGAAAACATTTTGTAACGAATAAGTAAAAAATATAGTGCTACATCAATATGTCACTAACTGCTTCTACCATCAGGGGAGCCCAATGCACTATAGTCAAATAAAGGTAGGAGAAGGGCCGTCTAAAAGACTCAAGCTTGACAAACATACCACTGAAATCCACGGCAATTTGCACATCGGGTTCATCTATCACCATTTTCCCACAGTGTTGTGATATCGCCTTCGCTTGGGTAAGTAAACTTGATGTGGTTGAATAAAGCAACTGAAAATGGGAGTCGTTATGACTAGGAGGAAATATTGCTTCATTCAAAGGCATTACTACGAGGTTCAATATGTTTCTATAAGGGGCGAAAGAATATTATTAGGGGCAATAAGCAATAATAAACGATAAAAAAGGGCAAGCTTTTACAATTCACAAGCAACGCTGATCTAAACAACACAGACAGCCTCACTAGAAATCACTCTACTTATAACACCGAAACGCAAGGGAATTCAAGAAAAATTGAGAACTCCTGACCGGATAGTTTACTTGTCACCTGCAGTCATAGCCTTCCACCAAATGATTATTACCTACTCAAGTGTCTAGCCCAACATTTAGGAAGGTATGAAGATCTCAAAAACGACGTTCGCTTTTTTTCTGACTGCATGCTCATGTTCTTCTATAAACAACCTTTTCATGCAGTAGTGTGTTGAAAAAAAAATATTAATATTGAGAGAAGAAATACATTAGTAAACCAAAGTAACTTCGGAAATAAAAGCAAATGGTGTCAAGGTATTTCGGGAAATAAATATATGTAGAACAGATTAGGTGGCACATTTAATCAAAACGTTTAACGAACTTTTGAAACCTGAGTATTCGCACGATTCATAGAAGCCACCGTAGAAGCATATCTGTCTACGTCAAATGTGATATCAAATAATTATGTTCGCATGAATTGATTTCAACTCACATCAAGAAGTAAGTGAACAACACGAGGATCGTAGTCGGTTACTCCAGCTTCTTCAAGAATGGCTTTCACATGGGCTATATCACGACTCGCATCCATTGAACTGCCATCACCGCCATCAGCGTCGTCCACGTAACTAGAGGAATCAGCACCCACACCAGATCCACCAGGCCCAGACATCACTACAAGTCTCTTGCCAACTTACCAAATATATCACTCTCAACTAATTACCTTCACCAATGAATGAAAATCCAGCAATAGCTTCTGGACGAAGGGGAAAGCAACCAAAGCAAATAGAACATCGGAAAAAGATCATTGTTTATTGCATACTGGTCGACGAATTACTGTCTTTAAATACATGGCCAACTGGAATGAAGAACTGAAGCACAGAGAGCACAACAAAGCAATTAGTACACTATCAAAGAGCAATCGAACGAGTGAAATACAGTAAGTGGAAGTGGAATAAATACGGTGCCTTACGATGATATACCTCGCAGTGAGATTGAGGCATTATTAATGACCAAACGAAAAACAAAAAATATGGTAGAGAACAGCGAGGATTTAAGAATTCATTACATTGCGCACGAAGTCGGCGATATTCACATTGCCGTGAGAATCGTTATGCCCTGCTAGAAGCTGATCGACTTCTTCATCAGTAAGCCGTTCACCTAAAACTCCGGAATCTAAGGATAAAACAGATTTGCAGGGTCTACATAACACATACCTAGGGTTGTGAGCAGATGGCGCAACTCAGCCACATTAATCAGTCCGTTGCCTTCTTTATCAAAATGAGAAAGGCCTTCAACAAACTCTTCGACGGTGTGTTTCTCCCTGGAAATCGAGAAAAATAAAGCCGCGACTGAACAGTCATATCGCCAAACCTTTTCTCTCAGAACAAGTCTTTGTTCTCAATAAGAAATGCATTCACCTTTTAAATTCTAAAAAAATCCAATCCAATCTAACTGAAGAAAGATGTAATCAGATGTGTACAAGCATCGCATGAGGTCGAGTGTTTTGCGGAAATGATACATATCTCGATTATCTTCCACCTCGAACATACCAGCCAGCTAACAAGAATCGGACTTCTATTTTTCAGGAAATTTTCCATTCCCATAGGATCGGATGTTTGTAGTAAAGCTTAACCACTGATTGTGACACCACCCCTTAACCCAGCAAATCTTCGAATAGTCCAAAAACGCAAGCGAGGCCATCATAACCCTGAACAAAGTCGAAAGCATGAGCAAGTACCGAGAAGGGTTAGAATCAAAAATTGCAATCGCTTTGTTGATTCGAATATATAGCAGGATATCCATTGAAACATATTTCACCTCTTGTTGAAGAACTGCTCTATGAACGGAACGAAAACGAAGCAAGAAAGGATCACTATCAAAGCAGAAAGCGATTATCTCTAAAATCCCATCCCAATGAATGGTTAAGAAATAATGTTTGAAATGAGCTCACCTATTTTTACTGATAGACTGGAAAATGGGGACGAAATCTTCGAAAGAAAGGCGAGCTTCTTTCTCGTATGCAGCACAGCATCGACCGATTTCGGCCTCTGTTGGATTCTGTCCAAGCGCTCGCAAAACGTCACCCACCTAGAGAGTGAAAATGAAGGTAGTAGGAGTAAAACTCTTAAGGATATGTTAAGAGCGCATACCTGTTGTACGCTTATCTTCTCATCTCCTCTGCTATCAAAATAGCAGAAGACCTCACGACAGTCGGCCAACTGGTCATCCATTGCACTTACCATTGACTAGAAGTAATTTGGCACTCATACTAATTATGTTCAGGGAAGATGTAAAAAAAAAATAGTACAGGGAAAATTCACCGAAAGAGATCATTCAAATCAACAAAGATAAATATTCATCAAAAATACGGATGAAAAATTTAACAATCTGCTAAATTACATACTGAAATAATCGACATCAACGACTTTACAAATGTCAAATTCATAGACAAATGCAGCTAAGCATCAACAACGGGATACACAGCATACAAAGAACAACGATTAGGAAATCGATCAGATTCCGAAGAATCCGCGAACAATGTGGCTGGCTGACCGAAGTGTCGGGTTGGCGGCACGAACCAGACGGACGGTGACTCATCTGCACCCTCCTGATTGTGCATGGTATTTCTACCCGCTGACCCGAGACCTCAACACCTTCGCCTTCACTCTTTCGCCGAGATTCTTTATCGTACAGATGAAGAAGAGATGATAATCAGAATTTAACCGTATTGTAAGTGGAGATCATGCAAAACCTGGAGCTCTGCGAGTTGGGGGGGGGGGGGG